GGTTTGCAGCCTTCACCCCAACTTCGCATGAATGCGGCGAAACGACCCGATCACTGCCATAGCCCGCATGAGAATCCTGTCCATGGAGCTGGAACACCTGACGACCCCTAGGCTGCCGATCCGTCCAAATCCATAGTCCCACAGAGCCGGAATCCGCGGAGGTCCAAATTCCGGCAACATGCAAAGGTCCTGCAGATCGTTATATCGCAAGCTCTCCACAGCTAGACGTGGCACCCAGGAGCAACTTGAGCTGGCAGAAGCCCTGCTTGGCCGCGGCGGTGCCCGGCACTTAGAGCAATGCCTGGAAGTCTTCGTGGGAAACATCGGGAAGAGAGGTCTTGATGGTTCTTTTTCGACTGCTGGTCCTTTTCCAGATCACCGCACCAACTTGCCAACAAGACTAGCTGCGCCACCACCCCCGTCACCCTCACCATCGTCAACATCATCATCGCCAGCATCATCACCGTTTGCAACATCATGTCATCCGCAACATCATCATACTTAGCATTATTTGTTTTTATGGCATTGCCGTCATCACTCGCGACCACACCATCATTGTCTTTGCCACCGACACCACCACCCACCACGCACCACCGCCGCCACCACCACCGCCACCGCCGCCGCGGCCACCACCACCACCACCACCACCACCACCACCACCACCACCACCACCACCACGCTCGTCGCAAGCATCGTTTTGATCAAGACTGTCGAAACCAGCACTCGAAGCGACCACTGCATGGGCAGCTGCAGCTGCAACAGCAACATCGACGACGAAAAGGACGACATTCGGGTGAAGGGCGGAGGAAAGCAGGTGAAGGAGTCGCTTGTGGCCTTCCGCCAGGACCCGAGCATACCCAAGTCCCCACATACGACCTGCGAACATCAGCCCGTTGGAGTTGCTTTGATACGTCATTCAGTGGGGTGAAGATGCGCATTGGTCAGGACTTGGACTATGCAAGCTCGTCCAAGTGGGGTGGTGAGCTGCGCGGCACTGAGGTGATCGTGGGGCTTGGCCAGCCAGCATCAATGGGGGAGCAATGGTTTGCAATGAACTTACGTCTAGGGGAGCTTATGGCTCCAATCCTGTCGTGCACAGCAAGCTGCGTAATTGAACCAGTGCTCACAAGTCAAACGAGTAGAGGCAGGACACACTACCTACTACTCAGCGTGTACAATTCTACAGGCCTTGGATTCAAGAACTCGAAAAGCAAGTGCCTGCACTGCACTCGTGCCGAGGACAAGCCTAGCAGCCGTGCTCATCGACTTCATGGCTAGCTTAGGCCACGTTCGGCACGTCACATCTTCTACCCTGTAGACCCGAAGTAGGGCTGCTCAGGCTCTTATATACTAAAGTAAATTATAAGCTACCACATTGCACCATAATATACTATAATCTACCACAATACACGTAAAATGTACTAGAATACCTGTTGGCCAAGACCTTTCATGCGATGAGCAAGGGAAGGATAGCAATATACAGGCCAAAATTCCCATCGAAATTCGCCACATATGTTCATGCTCATCCGTACCTGCAGAATGTATGTAACTGTACATGTACATGCACTATATATTATGTATATTTATGCAGATCTTTATTTTGTTTATGTGTATGCATATATAATACAGATATATATATATATATATATGTACACACTGTATACGTGCAGGCAAAGATGTGTTCATCTACATACACTTTACACTTATGCAGATTGTGGGTGCTGCACCGCACACACATGTGTATGTACGGATACTCGGCATGTCGAGATGTATTTCTACAGAGGAGTTAGATCGATAGAGAGAGAGAGAGAGATGTGTACCTCGGCATGCCCTCTCCAGCTGCCCTGATCTCTTGGAAGAACGACCAGGTCAAAGCAGCAACGAGGCTCGGGTATCGTGATGTCGTCTGGAGTACAGAACTTAGAACCCTTTGAGCTTTAGGGCTTCAGGGTTTGAAGGTCTGGGGAGTCTGGGGATGCTGTCAGAGAGCGATTGAATGGTGTTGCCCTCTGGGTTTCGATGAGATGATGAGTTACAACATACTCTATAACCGCTTGTGTAGTCTTTGTTGATTTCGGGTTTCATGGTCGGCCTGTGTTTTTTTCTTCATGTGTGGTTGGCCCTGACTGGAGACAGGGGACATGCAGCATTCTACGATTCAGGCGTGTTGCTGCTCTCTTGTTGCCAAGCCGGCGAGCAATGGGAACGACATCAGAAGATCGTATACTAGATTGTGACATACTATTTTCGTGAGTGTACTAGAATATGTTATAATATGCTGCATAGCAACTGCCCGGCAGGTCATAGGCAAGACAGCTCTCGACCTCGCACGATCTTTGCAGCCGTGCGTGCGGTGCCCATTTGCTGTTGTCAGCCTTTGCTTCGCGCATGGCTTTGTACGCCGCAAGTCCTCCCGCGTGCAGCCTCGAAGCCCTACGTGTGGACAAGCAAGCTGAAGGTGCTTTATAATACTTATTATAGTATTCAATGTAACAGTAGAAGTAAAGCATAGCGTGGCCATATTATCTAGAAACTACACTATGACAGTGTAGCATAGTATAGTTTAGTTTAATGTCTGAGACCGACCTCAGGATCCCATCATGCATCAAGGATGCTGGCCTTTGGAGGCACCGCGCGGGTGGTTTTTCGACAGGTTCTTACATGTAGGCAGCGGTTTAGGGTTTAGGGTTCTTTCATGGTGACGTTGCAAGCCAGTTGCAAAAAGGGTTCTTTCAAGTTCTTTCATGTTGGCAGCGGTTTAGCGCTTAGGGTTTGTAGGCACCTTTTCGTCGCACTTGCACACGTGGGATATGTTGCCCTGTGTAAATAGCCAGGCACCCGAAATCCGAGTCGTCTCAACAAGGGCAGGGATGGGTCTTTTTTCTTACGTTCGTGCGAATACGTTCACTTGAGAAGACTCGCTTCCGAAGCTTGCTCATGGGTGTTCCTGCCAACAGCTGCCAGGCAATAGACAACATGGCGCTGAGCAGGTACAGACTAGACCGAAACCGCCGAAACCCTTAAACCCTCAAAAATTGCCTCGTGCAAGAGTGACAGTCGATGGAAAAGCTAGCCCAATGTTTCCCCTACAGACTCTCGGCAGAATCTCACGCCTCAGGCTTTCCGGAGTCGAGAGACAGGCTCGGAGCTGCATTGAGTGGTCACTGGGGCTCCGGCTTTGAAGGGTTTACGGTATAGGGGTTCGAGATGTTTGGGGACTTCGGAGCTTACGACTTGTAGTTCACAGTTTGGGTTAAGGGCATGGGGGTTTATCAAAAGGACTCGAACCACAATGAAGCCATGGAGCCATTCAGCCGGAAAGATCGGCCACGGCCACGCGCTTGAACCATGTTTGCGTGGGGGAGCACAGCATCATGTCTCTAGCCCTAACAGCATAAGCATCAAGCAGTTGCAAGATATTGCGGCCTGTGGGGATTAGCAGCGGATGCTTGGACAAGATCAGCAGCATGAACAGCGCAGCAAGAGACTGAGATGCACATCACTTGCAGCGAACATGCCGCAATGCACGGAACAAGTTTGGGTCAGCCCTGTGAGAACCAAGCCTGCGGCACGCTTGTGGACGCTCTCGACCTCTAAGAGAGTACTCTATTATGGGATGTTATGGTATCTTTTAGTGTTATGAGGTTATAGTATATTCGTATATAGCAGAATACTATAGTACACAACATAACCGTACATTATACACAGCACTATAGTAGAGTCAAGTATAGCACAGTTACTACAGTATAGTACCATATCGTATAGAGAAGTATCGTCTGCTATAGTAAGTTTATAGTAGATTCTAGTTCTTGCCATGAGAACTCAGCCTCGGCGGACGGGGCCTCGTCAGCTGGCGGTCGCGAGTGCGCTACTTCCAGGAAAGGAGTCATGGAAGAACTTCGTCGCATGGATTTAGAGGTTAAAGGTTTAGGGGTTTCTGGGCGCGGATGCAAGTCTTTCCCGGTAGAGTCGCCGCAGACCGGATGCAACAGGGGTAAGTTTGTTTGGGGCGGAAGTGGCTGCACAGAGGGTTAGGTTTCTGCGTGTAGGCTTGGACATCTACTCGGAACCTACCCCTACACCAGATGTGCCACAACCCATCATGGCATTCATAGTCCTCTACAACAGGGATGCCCAACAACTGTGCATAGCGTCACCTTCCTGTTCATACATCTTTATGCATGCATGCATGCATCCCTCCATCCCTCCATCCATTTCGGCATCGCTGCCATCCATCCCTCCCATCCATTCATCCACCCATCCATGCATGCAAGTATGCATGAGTTCATAAGTCGCGGAGAAACATATTGGCATGATTGCAAAGTTTCATGAGCTCATGAGGGAGTTGTGGCTTTGGGACCACACCCTGCGCCCAGCAGGACTTGTCTTCGTTGCATGGCATCCCTCGCTGGAAACTTCCCCATACTGCCAGCGACGAGGCACAGGATTTTCTTGACACTACAAGTACCTTGTCAGTATTTTGATGTGAGCGTGAAACCTGCCGAAGCTGCACCGTGCGAGCTCTCAGCAGGGGTCCAAGAAAGTCGTATAGCAGCTACATTACTGGACCTCGACTGTTTATGCATGACGATGAGAGTGATAGCAAGCCAAGACAGAGTCGTACAGTCCCGGGCGAGTGCGTGAGGGCTTGCTGGCATCATTCGTCGGCAGCAGAACGTACCGAGTCTCTGGGTACATAGGCTCTGGTGATGAATGCTTCGAAGCTTCTTAGGCAGCCGAAGCTTCAATCTTCGCAGGCCTTGTCACTCGGAGCGTGACAGTCGACACTGGTTTCGAGGGTGCCGCTGTGGAGGTTGGACCGACTTCTGCACTCGGCACGCCAGGTAGGCCAATGTAAGATCTTCTCGCTTCTAACAATCGTTGCCTCAGGACCCAAATGGACCCAAACGCAAGAGCCAGCAAAGAGTGAAGCGCACACACATGATTGTCGGTGCAGGGGTGTGTCGCAGGATCTCTTAACGGGCCTCGCTCGACAGGTCATGCGGATCGCCGGTAATTTGGTTCAGCTATGCCTGCTACCTGATGGTGGCGGCCGACATCCGAAACCCAAGACGGAGACAGGCACCGTCGAGGGGCAGTTAGGCTGTGGGGTGGGGCAACAGACAGCTCAAGTACTCAGTACTCGGCAGGGTGAGAAGTTTTGTGCTTACGGAGCATGCAGTGGTGAGGTGCAGGATGGGTCAGGTTGCCATTCTGCCACGGATGATGGAGCTTGGATGTGCGATACATGCATGAACCACAGTCACGATCACGGTCTATGGTCTGTGGACTGGCATGGATGTGCTAGGCGTAAGGCAGTGTAAGAGCAACATAGGGGCCTTAACAATTAGAATAGGGCTTTGGGTATTTTACACTATCATGATAATAAGGAGCCCCCTATTCGAATTATGAAGGCCCCGACAATAATCCCATTCAGCCCTAAACTCGAAATCGAAGTCTCCAAGTGAACCAAGCTGGCCCGAATAAACCCTAAATCCCCTGAAGCCCTGCTCCCCTCAAGCCCCAACAAAACTCCAAGGGAGACGAACTGCGGGTCCCCTGAAGCCCTAAAAACTTCAACAGTGACCGGAAGCGGTGCTAAAAACCCTAAGAAGCTTCGGGTTTAGGTCTTTAGTCCAGGCGGGATTCACGCAAGCCGCTGCAAAAAGGTCTTTCGTAGGCGTTAAACGATTGGTGCAGACGAAACAAGGTGCTGAAAACACTAGGCATCTAGTCAACTTGTTTTCACGCCGACCTGAGCACCCATGGATCCTCGCCCGGCTTGTCGAGTTGTGAGAGTGTAAACCCTAAAACCAGGAACCTCGCCGAGAGTGAGTGCTGAAAACCCTAAACCCCGAAAGCCCTGAAGCCCTAAAACCCTAAAGCCCTAAGCTCTATAAACCCTAAGCCCTATAAACCCTAAAGCCCTAAAGCTTAAAACCCTAAACCCTAAAGCCTTAAAGCCCAAAACCCTAAAACCCTACAACCCTAAAGCCTTAAACCCTAAACCCTAAAACCCTAAAACCCTAAACCCTAAAACCCTAAAGCCCTAAAAAAACCCTAAGCCCTATTAAACCCTAAAGCCCTAAGAACCCCTAAACCCTATAAGCCCTAAGCCCTAAACCCTAAAGCCCTAAAGCCCTAAAGCCCTAAGGAGGTCCTTGCTCCGGAGGCCGCCATCCTGGCCAGCCCAAGCCCAAGCGGCTTTTCAGGGTCCTCCAAGTCGGCTTAGTCAGAGTGACCTCGTTCAAAAGGCTTTAGGCTTTATGGGTGTATCGGTTTAGGGTTTAGGCTTTAGGGCTTATGGGCTAATATAGAGTTTATGTTGAAACTAAGGTTTGAGGTTTAGGATTCATGTTAGAAACAGTTTAGGGCTTTAAGGGTCAGGCTTTAGGATTTCATGTGATTGATGCACGGCTTCGGTGCCTTTTAAAGTTTCCTAGGGTTTGGTGGCGGGAATGTCATTGATTCCGCGTGGTTCATTGATTTTGTTGTTTGTTGTTCTCTGCGAGCTTGTCCAAAGCTGTCGACCGATCCGTCCCGGAGCAGCAACCAAACGCCGAAAGTGTCGTAGCAGCATCGGCATCTGAAATCCCATGCATCGGAAGCCGGAACCCAGAGACTGAAATACCCCTTAATTCAGGCATATACCTTAAATTATAGTAGGATCCCTAATCTGATTTAAGGTATATTTCTTAATTAAGGGGTATTGGAGTCTCTCGGGAACTTGCTTCTGTGGCTCAGGTGGTTCTACTTCCGTGCCAGCGAGTTGACAAAGGGCGCATGTCTCAGAGTCGACTCCCAGGGGCTTCTACGAGGTTGGCTTAAGGCGTAGATCTCGGATGAAGTTTAGCTCCTTTTGAGGGGGAATGCCACAAGGGAACTTTAAAATAGTCCTTGGCCTTGGTGTAACCCGTATGGGAACCGATTTTGAGCTGTAAGAAGAATGGATGCTAGTTGGAGATGTGGGCTATACATAGTCCGTTCGGGATGATGGCAAGGCAGGCAGGGTTCAAGACTGTTGAGTTCAAGTTTAAGTTGGTCTTTCTAAGGAGAGCTTTACCAGTTCCAGCTCGATGTTTCTGGTGCGTCTTGGCTGGTATGGGGTGGGTTTATATGCCCCGATATTGCTTTCATCTGGCTCCTCCGGTCCCTAACTAGTACCTTTCTTGCGGCCACGAGGGGGCGTTTACGGGGCCTTGCTTTTGTAAGCCCTAAACCCGGAACCCTGAACCCCAACCCTAAAAGCCTAAACCCAGAATCCTGAACCTTAAGAACCCAAAACCCACTTTTTTGTAGGTCCCTATAGATCCCATATTAGGGTTTATAATAAGAACCTACAAAAAAGTGGGTTTTGGGTTCTTAAGGAACCCTAAAGCCTAAGTTTGGAAAGTCCAAGAGTCGCCAGAGCAGGCGAGAGCATGGAGAAGCTACAAGGGCTACGAGGTCTGCGCATCCTACACAGGCCGGCGGGTAACCTTTGAAGACGGCACACAAAAGCTTTCCTAAACCCTAAACTCTAAACCCTGAAACCGCCAAGTAGGAGGCAAAAAAACCCGAAACCGCTTTGTGCAGTCGCAGAGTCCGACGATACAATCGTAACGCGGCAGCCGTTTGGTTTTGTGTGCTTAGCCATCCAGAAGCAGTCGTAATCATGATCGGTGTTACCGAGTGGACACCGTTTAAAAGCCCACCCTGCCTCAGACTCTTTGGAGGTTTGCTGCTGTTTTGTTTTGCAGGATATTTCAACCACTGTCCAGAAGGGAGCCCTAACATGCCTACCCGTCAGAGACCTATAGCAATCTGTACAGTACCCCCCCCCCATAGTCACCCTTATAGCACCCAGAACCCTCATAGTAGCCTTTACAACTTGTGAATTTGGCGAAATTTCATTCCCTGCGAGGTGATCACTGGTGTCGATGCCTTGGCACCTCGGCTCTTCCGGGTTTAGGGTCCAGGAGTACAGGCCCAAAGCTCAAGTAATGTTCAAAAGCGACAGCCTCACGCGTGTCTTAATGCTTCTACAGTACCATTCAGCTAGACCTTCTCTCGCACACACATCCAGGTAAGCAGTGCGAACAACCGGATTCTCACACGATGCTGTTCGGTCCCAAGTATAAGGCTCAACCATCACGAAAAGCACAGCTGCAGGAACCCTCTACGATTCCGGCTCCCGAATCCTTCTGTGGAATGTGACAGCAGAGGCATCGAGCATCCCGGCTTGCAGTTTGCTGCAGGGCCTGCTTCCGACAGCCCCAAGACTTCGGTCTACATGACTTCAAGTCTGATGTGGCCGTTCTACGCCTTGTGTTTACTGGAAGGAGGTAAGCAAGCAGAAGTGGTTTCGTACCCTGCAGGCTGCTTCTTTGCCTACTTCGAGCCTTATGGACTCGGCCAGCTTGAGTCACTTCTGAAGGAAGCATCGGACGCAGGGGCAGAGAGGAGGAGCGGAAGCTTACAGTCGATACCATACTCTACCACGCAGTTCCGCACCTTGCCATAGGGCTGAGAGAGCCTGAAACCGTTTCTGCACCAAGCCACGGCAAGCATACGTATTGCAGTTAGCTGTTTGGACACACAACTTGGCCCTGAGTCTTGAAGTGAAACGGCCAGTTGGCCCAGAGCTGGGGTGTGAGCCAGGCTCTTCGAGTGTTCGTGCCACTGCTTTTTTGCTTGGTTCGACTAGCCAGAGACCCTTGTATCTGAGAGGACGATGGGTCGCACCACCGATGGCAGAAGCATTGATCCTCAGATCACATCGTCTGCAGTCGCTAGTGTCAGTGGGTTTTCGGGGGACATGCTTGAGAATCAAAGGCACCAACATCCGTCACAGCCACAACAGCTAAGTGGTAGCTTCTAGCTGCAGCGGCATGACGGCAAGCCGCGGCCCTTGTTGCGAGGGATCCTTACCAATCTGTTCTACTAGTTCGGCTCTATTCTGGTGATTCGCTAGCTGCCTGCTTAAAGCTGTTACGTTGTTACAAGATCGACCCCTGCCAGTTGCGAGATGATGCGAGATGGAGATGATGTTATATGTAGCTTCGAAATCGTACCGTTTCGCAGGCATCGTCTGCATATATCTGCATTCGTGTCGTTCTCGACAGATACGATGTGCAAACAGAAGCTCGAAGAGCCTACATCAGCGGAGTTTCAGCAAAGTTTAAGTTTCCAGCACGTGGAGAAGCGAGGTCCCTAGTGTTGAAGCTGGCTTCAGGGCTTCAGGGATCAAGGTGCAGGTCTTCGATGAACTTTCTACCACTTCTTAAGTCTAAAGAGCTGAAGCAGCTGTTAGGATGCGCTGTGCTTTCCACCCGGGCTTCTTCAGACTGGCCGGGAAGCTGCAGGCATGGCTTCTGGGATTCTTCGGAGGTTTGGCTCAGCATGTCGGAAGGATCTTCGAGAGTTGCGAGGTATGTTTGGGGAATTGGGTTTAGGACCCTTCGAAATATGGGGATGCCATGGGGGCTGCTAGACGATGTGACGGACCGTGAAGTTGCGATCAGCACCCCAAAATCCACTGCGACCCTCGAGACCTTCCTCCAAGGGTTTTGCCAGCTAATGCTTGGACAGGTGAACCGACTGTCCTGTGGATTACCTGTCGTCAACATGCAGCTGAGACTCAGGCTTCGGTGCACGGAGGGGAAGGGAAGTTCACGGGCCTCATTTCAGCATTCCGTCCTTTTTCGAGAAGTTGTCAGAAGCACGGGTTTTTGGCTTTGTGCTGTGCTGGCCGAGAAGACGAACGATGATCTCGTTCAGCCTGTTGTAATAGAAGTGAATCGTCACGGATCAACCAAACATGTACGTACTGTAAATGTAAAGGTACATGCAAATGTACATGTAAGGTATTGTAACGTAGTGCTAGTGTAATGAAATGCAAACTAATGCATGCATGCATGCATGTATGTATGTATGTATGTATGGGGGCATGGATGCAATTGTTCGTTTCGGTACTGGGCATACAAAAGGCATGTGCTTTGGTATGGGCACATGTGCATGTGCATTCATGGGTCATGATGTGATTGCTTTCGCATATGTATGTTCTACAATGTCTACAAGGACCATGGCTGTTATCTATATTTATATTTTTAATTTTATGCATGCATAGACAGGGGCTTCGACACCATCATCGTCTTCACCGCCCCAACTAGCATCACCATCATCATCATCACCACCATCATCATCGTCATTATCAGTGTCTTGCATAATCCTGGGGGGTGAGGAGGTGAAGCCTAAACAGCAGGACCCGTGTCTTCACGTTCTCAGCATTGGAGCTTCATGGATGCAAGATGCCCCAGTCCCATGTCAGCAGAAGACAGTACCCCAAGCCACTTCGCCATATCAGTACCGACTGGACGCAACCCCTCCGGACTCCTTGCATAGGCAAGCTTCTTCGCCGAGGGCGTGGTTCAGTCGGTGCCGCACAGCTGAAAAAACAACTACACTTCATGGAAGCAACCACAGTATCATGAAAATGTGTCATGCTGGATATGAAGGTATCTTGCGCATCTTATGCGCTCGTATAGTTGTATAACTGTATAGCAATGTATATATGTTGAGGTATCTGACAGTGACTTCATACACCTATCTGCATGCGTTGGAACATGCACGCACAAGAGTATAGGTGAGTGGTAAGCTGATTTGCATTGTGTCCTTCTGCATTTCCAGTGGCTTGCAGCAAGTCCAAGGCTGTGTGAGCCTCTCCCATTGAGCTTGGCCATAGTTCTGGTGCCGAACATGAATCCGGACGGCAGCGCTCGAGGCTGACTTCCCCACGAAACAGATCAAGATATTTGGGGAGCGCTAACTTGCAAGTTTCAGAAGCTAAAAAGATGGGCTGAGGAGAGAGGCGTGGGTATCCTAGGTTGCTAGTCCGAATTCCGACTGAGCTGCTTATTAGCACAGTAGGCCCCTCGGCTTCGGCTGTAACTGAGTGCGGCCTTGCTTTTGAGACCAACTGCTTTGATCAAGAGCAACAAATTCATCATTAGTCGACTTGTTTCTTTTTGCAATCTGGATGCCTCGGTTTTGGAGCTTCCAATGGAGACTTCAGAAGTGTTGCTACATGGCTTAGTTACTAGTTGTAGTCTCGTCCTGCCTTCGATCCTCTCGTCGTCCCAGCCAGCTGTCCAGGTCACACTCGTGAGAACGCACAAGGCGTGGACCTGAACCGAGAGTGGCGCCCTAAAGCAGACTACTGCCAGAACCCTGGACAGGATAGGTTGACGTTCGTTTGCATCAGGGTCCATTGCATGTGGGAAGGTACCGCAGTATTGCGCCGGTCTTGGTTGCTGATTTAAAGCTACCTTCAGAGGAGTATAGTATACCTATAGTATCTATACTATAGTCTACTATACTATACTGTACTTTCCTATACTATACTATACTTTTCTGAAGTGTCATCAACAACCAGGAGATTGGATGGACATTCGACAGGTACTTCGGTTTTTCTGCCGGTGACAGCTCTTGATTAGAAGCACGGCCTGGAAGTGATCCGAACCTGTGTGTATGAAGCGAGCAAGATGACCCATATTCTATAAACATACTGTCCGCATACTAATAGACTGTGTTACACGATAGGTTTGTCTCATTTGGAGGTTGGGGTTTTGCATGCAGATAACGGTAACAGGTACCCAGCTGCGAACTCCAAAGCCGTGGAATCGGACCGCAATCTCAAAGCGCGTGGAACCCGACGGGAACGTCCATTGAATTAGCTGTGAAGTTCATGCAACACCCGACAAGTAATCTGCCATGACCAGCTGCAAGATCTTAAACCTTAAGAGAAGAGAGACTACAGGATGGATGGACTAATGACTAATGTGCACGCAGCTCTGAAAGTCCCAGGAACGGACGCAGTCCAGAGGTCAACGCCGTTCAGGCTGCGATGTTGGACACAGGCCCATGTCCGAAACAGCCACAGGAGATTTTGGGATCTGTGATTTTAAAGCGTGCTGTGAACCTGCTCATACACACAATGGCAGCCGTGGCAGTAGCAAGCAGGAAGGTACGGATCGAAAGTGTGATCCGAAACCAGGCATTAGATTCAGCAAGCCTGATAGGGTACAGTAGTACTTAGTAGGAGTAGTATTGTCATCAACGGAATGCTGATCGGAAGATCCGTATATTCACCTAGTTGTAGTCGTCGGTGGCATCGCAGCCGTAGGATTGGCAGCATGAATCGCACGCATTCCAAAATCCTATTCTAGTTTTTAAGGCTTTTACATTAACCTTCCTCCAAACCTGCATGTTGGCCTGGAGCAGGCGTGGATGTACACTTGGATGTTCACGGTGACGAGGCGGGTACATTGCAGGTCAATTTGAGTCTTCTCTCTGTTTTGCAGACCGCTCGTTTTTGATGCGGCTATGCGCGATGGACGATGCGAGCATGTCGTGACCCGGGAGGCAGCAGACACTGCCTACAGCTATCCCGGGCTCCCGCGCTTTCGTGCCCCAGAACATGTGTGTGGCCCTCAGCTAGGCTTCAAGGCGAGGGGGATGTGGTTTCGCTGGCTTCTTCGGTGCTTATTAAACTGTAGTTACATGCGCCGGCTTGCCAAGGGCACAGCTCTTCGACGAGTTGGAAGAGGATGCATTGGCTCATGCTTCATGAACTAATAGACGTCACAGGAGTTAGGACATTCTCCAACCATACTCCCAGGCATTCCTCCAGCTTGCCACCTGGCCGGATACACCCTGAATCCTACCCCCCCAAACCCTACGCCTAAACCATTTCAACCTTAATACGCCCGAAGCCTTGGAAGGAGCTGCATTCTCGAAGTGGTGGTTTCTACATGCCACGGCCTGGCTCGGGCAGCGCGCGGACGGCGGCGTTTTGGACGGGCACCCAGCGTTTTGGATGCGTTGGATGGGGGTTGGGCGTAGGGTTAGGGTGGAGGGGTAGGGGCTGCGACTTGGGTGCAGGATCATCGCACTACATACACGACATCTTCTCACTTCCCATAGGCCATAATGGCACAGCACCGACGAGCGTCTCAAATGCTAGAATAAAATTGGTAAGCCAGTAGCGTCAGACGCGTGGACCTGATGCACATGCAGACATGCACTTTGAGATGAACAGTTCATCCATTCTTCACTGGGAGGCGGATTGCTTCGCTCACTGATTGCCCGGTGTAGGTTTGAATCACACTTCCAATCCAATGTCCTGTTGGGGGCACTGGTTTTTGGACGGCAGCCCGATCTTCAGCGTTTTCTGACAGGAAGGTCAGTCATAGGAGTCTCGGAGCCTCAACTCAGCGACACTAGTCACTAGATCCAGCTGGAAAGCTGTGGTTCTGAGCCTCCAGAGCCCATAATCGTCCTCATGATCATTCTGCAAGTAGAAGCCATCTCAGGTTTGGTGCTCTAAGCCTCACACTGGAGATGCCCTACAAGGATCGCTTGGAGCTTCGGCCTCTTGATGAACTTGCAGTGCATGCTGTCAAGACTGATCGGAGTACGGGCCCACTCCCGCCGATACCGTGCTATCCCTGCTCCACCCAAGATGACGACCGTTTGTAGGGCCCCAGAAGACAACGCCAGTTGGTCCAAAAGCTCAATTGGATTGGGTAGGAACAGCAGACCGTGCTAACATGAGCTCATCTGCAGGCGTTCAATTGACCCGGTACTTTCCAGGTGCACCCAGCAGGTCTTCGTAGCAGAAGTCGTAAGCAGGCTCGCATGGTTAAGGAATTCTTCCAGTGCGTGATACCAGACTGTTTGCAATCTTATCCTGGTATCCATAACCGATCTCACTACTAATGTAGGGGCCTTGATACTTAGAATAGTTTTTGTTTTTTTTTTTTTTTTTTTGCGGGGTGGGGTCATTATTATATTTAAAAAAATACCCCAAAGGGTAATTTTCTCATCATTATAAGGCCCCTAGATTACCGATTTTACAAAACACCGAGCTCTTGGGGCCTCAAACAGGGTGTAGCCCTGAACCCGAAAGCTGAAGCCTCTGAGTTGCATAGGGTTTAGGGTTTATATATAGGGTTTTTAGGGTTTCTTTAGGGTTTTTAGGGTTTAGGGTTTTTAGGGTTTATATAGGGCTTAGGGTTTATAGGGTTTAGGGCTTATAGGCTTTAGGGTTTACTTTCCCCAAATCCGAAAGCAGGACTCGGAGCCAAGGAAGGCTTGTTCCAAGAGCTGCAGAAGGTGGGCGCTTCACGGCTCTTGGTGCTAGGGCTCAGGCTTAAATTACGGTGCTTATCGGGCTTACAGTGTTCAGGGTGCAGGGTTCGGCTTCCACGGGTACTAGAAGTAACTTTCGGTCGCCGGTCGTGCAGTTCTGCGCATGGGCCCAGGGTAAGTTCGGAGCTGATAACCATAAAGCCTTATTGGGTTTAGAGTTTAGGGTTTAATTTAGGCATCTGGCTAGTCCCCAAGGCCAGTTGCAAATAGGGTTTAAGCATCAGAACATGGCTCTTGGGTACCCGAACCGTCATGATAGGGATCCCTATGGCCCTATGGAGCAATGTCGGCAATTATGTAGGCTTTGCCACAGCAGCTTTGCCTGCAACCGTGTCTTGCCGCCTTGTGGTACTGCCAAATTAGGGTAAGGTTTAGCCCCATGTAAGCTGTTTTATTTTCTAAGGACTTGTATAACCTTAAACCCTATGCCTGCAACTGGGACGTGATGTCCAGAAGCCTGGTCACCTAGAACATCGGAAAAATGGTGAACTGATGTACAGCTCCGAACGCTGGAGTCGCGAACTCGAAGGATATAGTTTCGGCTCGTGACGAGTCTTGGATGTTGTCGTTGCTAAACCTCCCCTGACCACGTCCAGCGCGAGCGAACCTTGAACCCTACCTATAGTCTCCATTGTAGTTCCTTTTTGGGAATACCTTATAACATCCTTAGTACATATTTGGTTAAACCCAAAAAAGGAACTACAATGGAGACTATAGGTACACCCTATAACACTAAAATGCAGGCTGGGATCCATCGCAGTGGATGGCATAAGGTCTCTGGGCCCGAGACTGGGGCGGTTCCGGCGAAGCCGCAAGAGGCGGGGCCTGGACCTCGCAGAGCAACTATTTTAGAACCTTATAAACTTTATGGTTTGGGGTTTAACTAGCTTAGAAAATTCCCTGAACATTGCCCTAAACCCTGAGTGTGAGTGTCCAGGCTTTGGGCTTAGTTTGAATCGTCCCGGTCTTTGAAGAGAATCTGCAAGTTGCTACCACAGCAGTTTTGTTAGAGGCAGCTGAGATGCGCTAACCAGCCGCGTTGATTTTGCAGCGTAGCCTCCTGTCGTGTACATGCCGTCGTTCGCAAGGCCATGATGCAACTGGAATCTCGTTGCCTACACTGGACAAGTTCACAACCGTGACTCCCGTGGTGCTGCCCACACGTCGCCATTATTGATGCAACGATGCCCTGGATGCTCAGTGACACGGAGCTCAAAGCGCCTGCGTCAAAGACATGGGATTTCCAGGCGGACAAGTTCCGGGGTTCTTGCCGGTCGGACTACAATCACGAGGACTTGCTGGAATGGAGCCGGCACCAAGTACCACACAGCTCCGATGCCTCAGGCGTCGATCAAGGGTGTGGTGCTCAAGTATCTTCCATCATCCGAGATGTAGCCAACCATAAGAGCAGCCGCCTGGGGTAGGCAGCTTTTCATCTTCCGTTGTCGTAGACAGCTTGGCTCCACTTCGCTTCCGAGCCAGCGCGCAACAGAGTGCAGATGAAAATCAGGCTCACAGACTCTGTGCCTGCAGAACGCTGTTCCATGTACTCGTGATATGCTGACATTCTTTTCACTTCAACCTAGCTGCTGTCGAGTCAGGACTTGGTATGTAATGGTTTCTTGCACTTTGGTTTTAGTTTGCGCATGTCACCTGCAGTTGAACAACAGAGCATGTTCCTGCAGGTGATGCTCTGATCGATGAGGCCACGGCATGTCGAACGCCGGAGAGGGTGTTCCACTTCCCAGGGATGGACCTTGAGTCGTGGTCTCACTCCATTCCACAACCTTTGATCAACGGAGGTGCATTGGGCCACATTGGGGGATCATTACCCTCTAACCGGAACTCAGGAGCGGAAAGGCCATGATGAACCCCCGTGCAAGATCTCCTCTGCGGTAGGAGACTCGACACCCATACATGGACCAGCTGCAGCGATTTCTCAGACATGACGCAGACCCGACATGGTCGAAAGATCGATCTTTCTTTGAAGGCTTCCTTCAAAGGGTTCCTTTAAGGGGTTCGGTTCAGGTTTGAGGTTGAAGTGCAGTCCATTGGGCCGTCGCACTCCCGTTGAAAAGAGGAAGTTCGAGCTTAGGCTTAGGCGGGGCTCTAGGTATCAGGTCGTTTTTCACCGGTCCTTCTCTTTACTATCCAACGCCTAAATTAAATTTCCCGGTGTTTTTGACACCTGCTCGGAGACATAGCAATAGCTTTTGCATAGAGAAGCTGACGCCATGGGAAAGGGCGGCCGGGGCAAAGGCGGCTACCCCTGGTGGGAGCGACTTGTTGGCCCTGCAGCCTTTGTCCGGTACAGTATCATTTGCGGTACTTACCTATGGGCCCCATAGTAGTTCCTTTTTGGGGGGGTGATATTTAGAATCCTATAAGGTAGTCCCAAGAAGGAACTACTATGGGGTAGTCTTGTAGGGCTTATAGGAATAATGGTGTTGTAGGGTTTTGAACCTCAGGGCTGGCTGGCTTTTAGGGGCTTCGAGTTTGGACTTAACGGCTTCCGTCTGAGGCTTCAGAGCATTGAGTTCAGCATTGGGGATTCCGGGCGATGATTTCATGTGCTTTCTGAGCAGCTCTACTCAACCGTCGACCCGAATTTGCAAACTCTGGGTGCGTCAGTGCTGGGCATAGGGCGGGTCTAGTACATGGAGTAGGCTTTGGAAAGGGTTGGTTTACTACGGGGCTCCACATTGACATGTTCTTTGGGCTTGACGGCTTCGTTGTGGTTCGACCCTTCAGGCCGTGCTCTTCGCAAGGGTCAGGCCGACCTAAAACTCCCAAGGCACGATACAAACCGGAAAGTTGAGCCGGCAAGCTGCTATAGGGTCTGCGGTTTAACAGATAGGTAACGAGCCGGGAACTCTTGTTTTGCTGACCACTGCGTTTGTATTTCGATTTGGGGTGACCTGTTTCGTTGCAGCTTGCTGGCCTAATAGTGGGTAATCGGAATAAGCCGACGGGACATATCTTCCAGCATGGCTTTCGCAAGCTACACAGGCTTCCTTTAGCATGAACTTAAGACCAACATAAACTTACATACTTTGCTCGCGCTACCACCTTCATCCGCCTACAAAGTCAAGGCACATCAAGCCCAAAGATGGAGGAGGCTCTGCACTTGTTCGGGCAAGTCTTGTGCTCCAACGTCGTGGCCGACGTACCGTCAATTCAGATATGTTCAGATCGTGTCGGCATACCTCTTCCGGTGTCAAGAGGCTAACATTTCTCCTTGGCAAACCCGAAGCTCGGGTATCTTCTGGCCTGAAATCAGAACAGCTACAAATCCGGGACCTTTGGAAGGTTGAGGTGGGGTCGTAGGAGTTCAGTGCCTGGTTGTGGCGAAAAGTGCTTTGGCCTGACCAGGCAGCTGGCAAAATGCCTCTTGCCGGCAACCAGCAGCCGGAGTCCGAGTTCACGGGCAAAATCTAGGAGCCTAAATCGTTACCTATACCATCTTCCAGGTTCTTTATTCAATTATAGTACATTTTACCCCGAAACCATGTTCTAATCTTTAAGGCCCCTACATTAATTCCTGTGCAACATGAGGTCGCGGTAGAACCCTGCTGCCGCAAGCATTTCATCTGCCTGCCTTTCTTGCTACCTCTGGTTGATACTGGTGAAAAAATCAATAATTCAGACTGTCTTCTTCTGCCAGCTGAATGCTGTTCCGATGAACCTGCTCCTGACGGTCGCGATGACTTTCACGATGCCGCTACCGACGACCAGGTCCACCGCCACCGCCACCGCCGCGGCGACGGAGACGACCCCGCCGTCGACGACTGCTGCTACTGCCATTGCTACTGCCCCTTCTCCTACTCTACTATCATACGACTAGGACCAGGAATCCTACTATACTGCTCACGACTACGACTACGACGGCTACTGCGGCGACGACGAGGACGACGCCGATGCTGACGACTATTACCACCTTCAGCCTCTAGTCTCTGAGGAAAATGCAGCTCCACGCAAGGCTCCGTCAGGCTGGCCGAGAAATCAGTCGTTTGGTTCCGGGTCCGGGCACAACCTTTGTGAACGATACTGGCATTGATAATGATTACGAAGAGCGGCCAAGCTGTTGAGACCTTCGGAGATTATATCTGCCAGGGCGATTGCCGCGCCTGCCTTGCATTCGATTTCGGCCAGCTCCCATGGCTTCCAGACAGCTTCGCCACATCAGCCCATCCCTTTTGCCTGCGAAGCTGTCTGGCGATGCAGCAGAGCCCCAAGCAAACTAGCATGTCCCGCGCGCCTGCGCCAGAATGCCCACGGCTGCATAGGTCCTCTCTCCGGCTTGCAGAAGCATCTGCAGGGCCTGGAGGGAAGGCCTGGACATTCTGATTTGATTTGTTGCAACATATGGTGAGAGGCAGCGAAAGACTGAGAATATTTCATAGACATAGATGTACATAGCACTATGTATGTATGTTTTTCAAATATGTAGACACAGATACACACACTCAGAGAAAGCATTGCATACGCACACGCACACACACACACAGAGACTCTCGCTCTTTGTCTCTCTCTCTCTCTCTCTTGTTTCTCCGCTTGTCTGTCTGACTGCCTGGCCGTTTTTCTGGCCGTCTGTTTCACTCTCTGTCTGTCTGTCTGCCTGTCTGCCTCCCATCAATGTTCACAAGTTTCCCAACATGATCACGATGTGGCTTTCGAGGCCAACACTTTCGCAGAAGACTTGCGAACATTTCAGGCTGCCATCAAAAGGTTCAGTAAGCACCGCAAGCTGCTACCAGGAGAGAGTTTGACCACTTGTCGTGGCTGTACATTTTAGGGTATAGCCGCCCCACACGAGGTGTGGCTGATCGTGTCAAGCATTTGTGCGAGCCGGATCCACGCGCTCAGCTTCAACAAATCTTTATACAACGTTCGGCAAGGAAGTGGGAGTTTGACTTTCACATCTATCCTCCACTTGACTATAGATGTCAATTCAATGTGCCATAGTCACGCAACTGCCGTGCTATGATCACAGTAGCGCAGACTACGCCAAGCGTCAAGGTAAAACATGTTTGTTTGTTTGTTTGTCCGTCTTGTTCTCTCTCTCTCTCTCTGTCCCTCTCTCTGCCCCTCTCTCCGAGTGGCACTGCGATACAGACCATGGCCTTTCCTCACACAGGCAATACCCCAGCTACAAAGACCTTTGCGGGGGCGGCTGGGACATTGAGACTCTCGGCCAAACACACTCTTGAGTAACCAACCCCTGCACAAGCCTTTAGAGCCCATGGTACATATCTCCACATGAGGTGACGTAGTGTGGAGTTCTTATCAAAACCACGGCGACCTCCGTTTCTAGGAGGCTCCAGATTCACGGGAGCCTGCCATATGGAAAGATGAGTCTTTAGATTCAGGAGGATTCAGGCAGTAATTTTTCGGTTTGACGACCGACATTCCCAGACCCCAACAATCCAGCAAGCTCCGTAGCGCTCGTTGAACAAGGCAGCGTTCAATGACTGTGTTCTTCGACCGTTCCTCGACTGCCGAAGCTTTGGGCAACCTGCAGGGTTTCGTGTCCTTGAGGTTCTGGGTTTCAGAGTTTTGGTATGCTTCGGTTTCAGTGTCAAGGGGTCTGGAGGCAGGGGCAGCAAACGCAAACGACAACGACGACAAAACCCAGGTTGGGGTCTGGACTCTTGCTGCTTTCTTGGCAGAAAAATGCTGGATTTCTTGTGCCGAGCTTGTGCCTCCTCAACGCAGATGCTTGTGTCAGCACCCAGAATTTTAGTCTCGATAATTACACAGACGAAGTCGGCAGAGCCTATGACTTCTCTGCCATAATTCTCAAACCACTCTCCCTAACCCATCTGAATCTGGCTCCTGTGTTCAAGTCCTTCCCTCATATAATTTAAACTTCCATATTCAATAAATAAACTGTATAAGCTCGAAACTGGTAAACAGCACCGAACGAGCCCGCCTCACAGCAGACCCAGTAGCTAGTAAGACAGTTTAGAGTTTAGCATCAATCCTGCAAGGTTTTTGGTCTGAGGGCTGAGGGTTTAGGATTTCAGAGCAGGCTTTAGGGAATGGCTGTGAGATACCTTTTACCGCACGGTGAGATGTGAAGCTCGTTTCAAACAGCGTTTCCCTGGACGGCAGCTCGAATTAGGAGCACCTTCCCAGGCGTCCAAGGCGACGCCTACGCACCACCTTCCTGGATCCGAGCCAGAGTGCCCATGTCGGCAGCAGCTTGTCTGTCCTTACAGGCTTTGCAGGTTATCCTGGCTTAGGGGTCAGGGCTTTAAGGCGTGCAATTGTCATGCCTGCTCCCCAACTGATACCAAAAAACCTGGGTTCAAAAAAAAGGGCCTGGAGGGTTTGGAGGCTTCTGCAGCTCCTGCTCAAAAAGCAAGTTTAGGGGCTGCATGGACCAAGTGTAACCCTCCACCCGAAGCCCAGAATGACGAAGCTAAGTCTCGGCTTTCATGCTGCAGCGGTTGTGGGCATGCGTTTTGGTCAAGAAGTACTCAAACCTTAGATGCTTGGATGTGTTGCTCGAGCCACTTCTTTGTTCGCAACTTCCAGAATCAAGGATGTCAAGGACTACTTCCAAGTGATTCGCGCCTCAATGTCCCATGCTACCGGCAGCCACCCGCCAGCCGACTCAGGCAAAGTTTCCGCCGGCCTACGTCACGGAGTCTAGGATACGGAACACCGCACTATGTGACTCCCGGCTGCATTTATATGTTGGGAAATCCAAGAGTTTCTGGGTTTGCCCGGTTTCGGGCTTTGGGTTTGGAGAAGATCAGACCCACCTATTGCATCAGATGGCTTTGCCTCATGACACAAGTGCGGGGCAGGCGTTTCGAGTTAATGTAGATGATGGCGATGGGAAGTTGTGAGAGCGGGTTTGTCAATTCGACACTATTTCGCCTCCCCCCTTCCAAGAGCAGCTCGCACTACGGCATTCAACGAGCTTCCCCTTAATCCTGTGGGCTGCAAAAGGTTGAACAGGGTTCAGAAGTTGAAGCGTTCATATGACAAACGGGTCAGAAGCAACATCACCATGGCTCAGGATTTCGTGACGCGAGTGCTCTCTGATCGTCTGCGGGGCGGCGGGGGCACGGATTGGCAAAGGCCTCAGCGAAAGCGAGACAACGTAGCGCCCCACCATGTTCAGAAGACTGATCTCGGGTAGCCCGGGACTTCGCTTCAGTTCTTTCGGACGGGGACCCAAAGACTTTACGGTCAAGCAGGCCCTCCAGCCTTTGTCAAATCCATGCTGCAGGCAACAACAGAATGGATTTCATCTGCGACCGTCAACCTGTCAGCCAAGTTCGTAACTTCTTGATATCAGCGTCTGCCGAGGACACAGGTGGTGCAGGGTGGTGGCTGGTCAGGAAGCAAGGGCGGAGACCTTCAAATTGCTGATTGGCGGCATTCCAGAAGTTGAGTCCAACCCGGAATTTTGTTTAGGGCCCCCTGAACATTTGATCATTTCCTGGTTTGGGCTCCTTATTGCAATAGGTACAAAGGCCCCTATAGATGCGAACTGCCTGGTCACAGATATCCAACGCAGTCTCGGCCCGGAGCCTGGGTTTGACCTTCCAGCCTTCTCAAGTCGCAGCACCTTTGCATCTTGCACCCATCATACCAACCCATAAGAAATGGTGTACATCCTACACGTCCTACATGCTACATAAAGATATGTTTGAGAATAAATTAAGTTGCGATCGACCATTCAGTCCCGAAGCCTACCCGGACGACCAGATCCAGTCGAACACCTCGAGTAAACCCGGAAGCCCCAAACATACACAGTACCATACATGCATACATACGTACATACATGCATACATACCGAATAGTGTGTATATTTCTCGATGTGTATATGAGTTAGACACACACATTCATATATGTATATATAATACATATACATACGCATACATTTGTTCATTTAATTCGTTATTTTAGTGATTTGCTCATCTACTTATATATATATATATACATACGGCATGTATGTGTCTATGTATGTATGCGAATGTATGTATGTACGTATGCATATCTATCTATATATATATATACATATATACGTAAATATGTATCACAAAATTTGATTTGGCCCTTTTCAGGACACGCCTGGGCAATACGTGCTGGAACGCAGCAGCGTCGTCGCCAAAGCAGAGTTCATTGAGGCGTCTGAGCACATCCACTGGCACTTTAGACTTGTACGGATGTGTCGCCATATTGGAGGTTCTCGTCATTCTCGTCGCTTTGGCTGTGGAGAAACACGGGAGCAAAATTAACAAACCAAAACGAAACATACTTGTGTGAGTGCATGCACATGCACGCATGCATGGTGCTCGGATTTTGCGTACACCATTTCTTTCCCGTTGTTTCTATTTGGATCTCTCTTTGTCCCTTCGTTGTGCATGTTTCTTGTGTCTCCAAATGTTCTTAAGTGGAAGTCAGTGTCTGCTGTCATGCAGATGGTCTTGCGATTTTTGCCGTCCGTCTTGGATTCTGATCAGGATTTTGCGGCACGCGCTCACCACGGCTAGCGCAAGTCACGACTGCAGATAGGGACTAAACATAACCACATCAACGGCTCTTCTGATGCGGCAAGATCCAAAGACTAACAGCTCCGGTTCGTTGGTGTATAAAGGCTCGGGTGACTTTGGCACTGCCTGCGCGCGGAAGGTCGATCGAGGGTCCCTTGGTTGTGAATGGACTATCTAGAGCGCAGAGTTCGTGTCGAATTGCATGAAGCGTTTGTCGCATTTCTGTTTTGCCCCTTTGTGCATTTTCTGGATGCGCAGTAGCAGTAGCAGTCAGAGTTGAAGGGCCTAGTTTAAAGCATGCGATCTTGGCTAGTTCAATAAACTCTTCCCTCATTGGCATTATACAGTAACTGGGCACCGCGACGTTGTCAAGCGACGCCGACTACCACTGTACTGTTAGTATACCACCACTACCACCACCACCACCACCACCACCACCACCACCACCACCACCACCACCACCACCACCACCACCACCCTCCACCATCACCCACGACCACCACCACCACGACGACAACAGCTACGACCAGGACTACGACTACAAGCACTACCAATGCTGCTGCTGCTGCTGCTGCTGCTGCTGCTGCTGCTGCTGCTGCTGCTGCTGCTGCTGCTGCTGCGACGATCTGCTGCTACGACGACGGCCACCACAACCACTGCCAAACCATCAGGAGATACTGCAGTCCTGCTGTATGCCTTCCATCTTCGTCAAGCTGGTTCCCAGACTTGCTTTGCTTGTGCGATGTTGTGTGCCTGTGATCGGGAAACTGGCAGCTAAGGTTACCGAGCCGCAGACATCGTAGGTGGCCTCTGTGAGGCTGTGGAAGGCAATGGTTGCTCGTTGTGGAGTTGAGTTGCGGCTTGTGAACAGAAAGTCTAGTCTATGCTTCCGCATAGCAACCTCGTCTGCGGATGTTGCGCGGGCTTGACATAGACTGGCATGTTCCGATGTCGAAGAGGGGAAAGAACGTCCTTCCGTTGACGCACGTCTGATCTCCGCTGGTAGGAATCTAGTTGGTTACGGGCGGGCATAAGCAGATTTCGAAGGGGGATCTTCGCTGGAAGGGCCTTTGCTCTCGTGCATTGATGATGCAGCTTTGGGTGGGGCCCGGGCCCTTAGGGTCTGAATCGCGTCCGTAGATGCCACCACACTCCACGAGCTTCACCCGACATGCAAAGCGTGGAGGCTCCCTGTTTTACAAGTCTCTGGATGCAGCTGCTCTGCAGAGTCACATCGAAGCCGTCGAGGATCAGGACCCGCCCGGGGCGATGTTGCTGGGGAGCCCGTGGCATGCCCATTCTGAGTGGAGTGGCTTTGCGTCGGCTTTAAATTCTTGCGAGGCATGTTTGTCCACTGTACCCGGACGTCCCCCGATCCAACAACAAAGCGACCTGAACCCCTTATGCAGCGTAAACCCGATGGCCGGAATCCCGAAAACCGCGCAAGCTCTCTTTGACAAGGATGCCCTTCGCAAGCAGCTCTCCGGCTTAGGCTTGGTCGCCTTCGTGGGCAACGGGGCGATCCTCCCTCGGAAACTTGGGTGTATGCGGCAGCTGTTCAAAAACCGGTCGCCGTGTTTGGTTCGGATCTCTTGGAAGGAAACGGACTCCGTCCTTCAAAATGGGCTTCCGGTGCCCACTCCCTCTATCGTCCATCTCATGTCAGATGATACGCACTTCGAGCTATTGATTGGCTCTGACTTGGATCGTGGGCATTTAGTGCTTGGCTGCAAGATGACTTAATTATCACTACACCCATAGGCCCCATAGTAGTTCCTTTTTGTGGCTTCTATTTGGGATCCTATTAGGGAATCCCAAACAGGAACTACGATGGGGCCTATGGGCAACTCGTAGCTTGTAGGAGGTCTAGGAAGGGTTGTCTGGTTGTCCTTTTGCTTCTAGTGCAATCTTGTCACGTTAGGGTTCCAAAGCCCGGCCCTTCAAAATGGAGCGGCACTGTCACATTCGCTCTCATCTAAACTCCTGGGGCTTTCGGGTTCGAGGTCTCTGGGTTTGGCTTTATATAAGTCTTGGTCATGGACCGGGGTTCAGTGTCTTTTTGTGGAAAACCGAATAACATGTTGAGGGAGACCCAAGCCATATCCCGCCCGTAAGACGGCCCCTTGCAGCCGAGGAAAAGCGGAGTGGACGACAGGCCAATGACCACCAAGGATATGGTCTCGTCTCAGGGGGGTACTGCTGCTGCCATCGCTAGATTTAATCATCACCCTTTTTCGGTCCTAGCGTGTCCGACGTTGATATGCTGTCTCGCTCCCTCACCAACCCACCCACGCTCGCGAGAGCAACTTCAGTCAAGCCTCGGGCTCTGCACACACGCGCACGAAAGATCGCTGCAAAGACCGCAAGAGCAGGACTCACCAAACCTGGTGACATTCGAGAGTCCTACTTCCATGGAGGTGACGCTGTCGCTGCCGCATGCAGGACCTAATGCAGAGGGCTTTGTGTGTGTGTGTGTCTTGGCGTTTTGGCGCTTTTGGGTGGAAAGCCTCTTAACAGCCTTGACAGATGTCCGGTCACCTTAGTCACCTTAGTCATTGGCGGCCTGTAGGGATTCGGTTCAGTGCCGGACACTGAGCTCGCACACTGCCTGAAGTGAAAATACTGTGCAGCTAGGGATCGAAGTGCGCTGAATCCTTGGGTTTAAGGCTTGGCTGGGCCAGTTTTCGGGCTTCCCATGGACTGAAAGGAAGTAGGATTAATCGTGAATGTGCAGCCCTTGGCACCGACGTCTCAAGCCAACAAAGTCACGTCCGCCGTCCACGAGAATCCCGCACGCAGGCTCAGACGGGCCAGGAACCTGTAACACAGAAGCCTCAAGGCCAAGAATTACTAATCTTATTCCTTGGGGGTCCATGTATGTGTAGTAATTTATATATATATATATATATAAATGTCTTTCATTCATATTTACATTATATACCGCCGAGTCCTTATTCTAGCTATTATATGTAATTCCCTACAATACTGTAAGTCCCAGTGCCCGGATTCGAAGGAGATGTTACTGGCATGGGGATCCAGAAGGGTGTGACCCTGATCGTTGGCGGCGGCTTCCACGGCAAGAGCACACTGCTGCAGGCCATGTGCTACTACTTACTACTGTATAGGCCCAGGGGTTCGATGGCTATGATTGTTGACGGTGCTGATCGGGTAACCACTGTGGTTATTGCTGTTAAGGGGCCAGGGCTCCACTTCAGCAAGAAGCCTGGGAATGTCACACAAGCAAGTATGAAGTCTGACAGTGAAGCAGAGGCGCTGCAGCTGGGCATTTACAACAAGGCAGGGCGCAGCGCTGACAGCCATTACTATAGGGGCCCAAATAATTACCTATATTATTTTGGATGCCGCAGATCAGCACAAACCTATGCAGAATGCCGCCCAGAGAAAAAACCTTACCGACGTCAACGCAAACCTTGGTGCTCGAAGTGAAGCACGTTTCACCCAGCCCCTCCCTGCCCAGCAGCAGCAGTAGCACGAATGTGGGGCTCAAGGGGTGTGCCTTTTGCTGTTGTGATCGGCTGAGGAGTCCGGATATCACGTCGTCCACTTCTGTAGTGGGCTTCCGGTGCCGCAAATTTACGGACAAAGTAGATGAATAACCTATACGGACCAAAAAATGACTTCTGTCGTTTCTGAAGTGCGGCTGCTGCCTCGTACCACAGGGTCCGCTCTTCTGGATCTAGCAGTACTAATGAGAGCTCGAGATGAAAGGACGGACAGCCTCAAGACATCGAGCCAGTCGAAAGCTCCGCGAGGTTCCCGGAGACGGCCGGGAGCACGTGGTTTGCGATCCCCAAGCAGCGCCCGGATCTTTTTTAAGACGTTGTCGGGTTGGCCGATCGGTGTAAGGGGCTTTCTACATGGCCGGCTGCGTCGGGCATCGGTGCTATATACTTTATGTCAAGCCAGTGTGGCAGGTACTCGCAGGCAGATGTTTGGTATTATGTTCAGGTGTGCAGTTCCCATGCCCACCCATCACCATGTAGCTCAGGTGAAGATCCGTGCTGAGGACGGCCGATCTGTCAAAAGTGCGGACATCTCTCCGTCACTTTGCGATTAAGTTTAATACTTTTGATACTGCAGCTCCAAATAGTGGAAAAGCAGAGGCCGTGAGAGAGTTAATTGGTGGTCCCAACAAGAATTCCATCAGTTCTACTGATATGCATTTGTTCTCTTGCGGTTTGCAGTCTCAGGTTCATCAACAATTTGCCCTTCGGCAAGCAGACGCAGCAATTCAGCACCGGTGATGCCTCGGGATCGACGTCGCAGGCTTGTGGGCTCCTGAAAAGCTGTCTCGAAGCAACCAAGGGGTCCCTGGCCCTGTGCGCTCCCAACCTCAGGCGATGAAGGCATCGAGGCGAGTGGTGTCCGACCAGTAGAGTGCAGTGCTCTTCACGTCCAGGCCGCCAACATCGTCGAAGCATTAGAGGTCGGATGCACAACCCTCCTGGTAGCCCGGCTGCCCGACATCACGCACGCTTGTCTGCGAGTTTTGCTTGACTCCTTCCTTTCAGCTCAGATGTTTGTCTAGGTCCGGGTGACATGGTCGCATGGAAACCACCTGGCAGTCTGGCTTACTAGGCCTCCAGTTGAACTGACCCTACATAAGGCAAAGCCTCAAACTTTCCACAAACGACACAGTGCCTGCTAAGCAAACTTTGCAATACATACCTACCGATTTAGGTACAGACATACGGACATACAGACACACATACAGCACCTACATACCTACACACATACGTACAGAGACGCACTACTGAGAGAGGGGGAGCAAGATAGACACGTAGTATTTCTCCATACATCCCAAGACACACTGGTGGCTTGTGGACCTGGGATATCTCTGTATGGTGGTTGATTTGTTGGTGCTGGTCATGTTCCTACTGCTCAGGGTACGGGTGTTGAGTCGAGTTTTCACTTTAAGTGGTTGCAGTAGCGTTTATAGTTTAGTTTCATATATCACACTCCGAGGTGTAGCTGTACAAATCGACGCAAGCTATCCTGGCTCTTGGAGAACACTTTGCCTGTGACATGGCTGCCTGCTCGCGAACATGTGCTTAGTATCCAGACAGTCCACAGGCCGGAGGTTTCCTATCAGCACGCCCTAAACCCTAGAACCCTGAACCAAAAACTCCAGGGCCTGTGACCCATCGCCCGGGTAGCCGAGGTCGACGAAGATACTTGTGCGACCAACTTCATGATTCGTGATGAGAAGATGAAGGTCGGGGGGAGGGGTATTCTACGCCGTCAATGCCTCCAAAACCCTGCACCTCGCAGGCGCTCGTGGCCCCGGACAAGGAGCCAATCACTGCCTTCGTATGTAAAGTCCGATCGCTGCTGGAGGAGCAGGGAGTCTCCACAGCGACTCGGCATCAGGTCGCACGGGTCTGCAGGAATCAGAACCTTTTCTTCTCCGCTCGCTCTCTCTCTCTCTCTCTCTCTCTCTCTTTTTGTCTATACATACATACATACATACATACATACATACATACATACATACATACATACATACATACATAGGTACATACATGCATACATACATGTGTATATATATATATATATTCATACATATACACACTTGTATGCACACATGTACATATATAAAAAAGCTGTCTACATGCGCCTGCACACATGCACACATACATATGTATGTGCGTACATACATACATACATACATACATACATACATACAGACAGACAGACATACATACATACATACACATACACACATACACACGTACACACATACATACGTATGTACGTGCACATGTATGCATGTTGCATGCATGCATGCATGCATGCATGCATGCATGCATGCATGCATGCATGCATGCATGCATGCACGCATGTATGTATGTATATATGTATGTATGTATGTATGTATGTGTGTATGTATGTATTTCATGCTTGTATGTACGTAATGTGTGTACGTGTGTGTGTGTGTGTAAGAATGTATGCATGTATGTATGCATGTACGTATGTATGTATGTACGTATGGATGGATGTTGTTTGTGATGTGATGCGATGCGATGCGATGCGATGTGATGTGATGTGATGTGATGTGTGCATGTATGTATGTATGTATGTATGTATGTATGTATGTATGTATGTATGTACGAATGTTTGCCTGCATGTATACATTTATACATGTATTCAGAGAGAGCTGTGTACATATATGTGTATGTCTTTTATGTGCGTACGTATATGTGCATGCATGCATGCATGCATGCATGGATGGATGTATGTATGTATGTATGTATGTATGTCTGTTCGTATATAAGATAATTTGGTTTTCCCATATGTGTTTAACTTTCTTTTGCTGAAGGGCGGGGTTTGCCGATTAAGAGGGCGTTTTGCAGGGGGCATGGGTATATTTGCAAAAGTTCCAAGTTGCCATTCAGAGTTGCATGTCCGCTTGTTCCACGGGTTTAGGATGTATGGTTTTAGGTGTTAGAGTGCGACCCTGAGGATACTCACATCTGGGGCATGGCACGAGTGCCATTCATTGAACGCTGAAATTCTTCGGAAGGCGAACAGCCGAGATCATGAGTCTCATGTCAGTGAAGTACAGTGCTGTCGAACGTCTCGCAATGGCTCCAGAAAAGAGAGTGCAGCTAGAAATGTCAAAAGGTCCTCGTGGTTGGTGGAAGTGGAGATTTCTTCAGCGTGGCAGACTCCGTGATCATGATGGACGAGACTTTTGCCTGAATTTGGAAAAACCCTTCGGACCACACCTTGCCTTGAATTGTTGGGTTTGCTTGACAAGCTCCTCCTCCTCCTCCCGATGAAGGCATGAGGTGGTCAAGTTTATTCGGCTCACGACCTTCACAGCCTGCCCCGTGCCCAGGTATGTCGCAAAGGATGTCACGAAGAGGGCACGAGAGATCGGCCAGAAGCACCCCGGTGGCAATGTTCGGTAGCGGGGTGGCTAGATCCTGAAAGCTTTCTGTCCTGTGAGACCCTGTCTTCCTCATGTTGAGCTTCCCTTAACGTGGCGACAGCATTGCATCTTATGAGGCCTCAACGAACCTGCACTTGCCCGACCTCTGGAGATAGCGATTATTATGCGTAGATGGAAGAAGCATTCTGAATCTCAATCCTCGTGGCAGATCGGCGCCGCCGACACAGGCGGCCTTTGGCAAGGCCATCTTTGGAGCCCTAAGATTTAGGATTTGGCTTTGCCCTTGCTCGAATTTGTGACGGGTTTTTCGAGCAAGGCTGCTAGAGCCTTGCATGACAGCTTGAGGCAGTGCGAACGGACCTCTGGGGTCAATTTGTGGCCTTAGTGGATGTTGCGTTTCAGATGTATGCCTGGTCATCGCGTAGGACTTCAAGTATAGTGTTGCTGGATGTTGGAGCACATTGACGATGCGTTTTGGCAAGCTCTTGGTGTGACATGGATTTCCGCGAGCTGGGACTGTCAACCGACATAAGGTGGCGGGGTTTCTGCGACTGGATCTAAACTGAATCTAAACCTCTGCAGATTCGGATCGAAATCGAAGAAGCATCAAACTCAACACGCACGGCAAGACTCATCCGAGCCGGCCACAAGAATGCAGAGATGGACCGAGCCAACATCATGTACAAGCGGCTAGGGAGGCCTACAGCGACGCCCAAACAGTGCCACAAGTGCCACTACTTAGTTGCATTTTGCGGAAGACTACAGCCTTTACAAAAATCTGAAGGTCGCCCGGCGCCGGCTGCAGCCAAGCGGTTTAGCTGCAGATGGCAAGGTGGCTGCCCGAAGCTTGAGGCAGGTCAGTGAGTTGACTTGCTTCAGGTTTTGGGGTTTTGTGTGTGCGTGCAAAAATCTATATATATATATATGTATGTATGTATGTGTACATATATATATATATACATGTGTAGATATATATATATATATACATGGAGCATGTGCGTGTGCAGGACTGTCTGCATGTGCTAGCAGGTATGTATACCTGCATGTATGTATTAGCACGCTGGTGTGCAAATGCATGCTCGTGTTTACTTCAAGGCCGATTGAAGTGATGCAGGATATTAGGCTTTCCGCCCGGACAGATTGCATTACATGCTTTCGTACAGTATCAGCACAGTACTACAGTATAGGCGCAGACAGCAGATGGTAAACTAGCTGCCGGGGTATAGAACACTGCATAGAGCAGTCTGCGGGCAGCTTTCATATGCATGAGCCCCAATGCTCAGTGTATAGTCTAGGAGAAGGATTTAGGCCGGAAGGATGGAGTTAAGATAATATGTCCTACAACGCAGAAGAGAGCTGCCAATTCTTCAGAGCCCACATGCTGGATGTACCTGCGGCAAGCACTGATGTACTTCCTGCCGTATCCTGCATCTTCGCATTGAAACACTCTCTTCCAGCAGTCCGATACGGGTTAAACACAATTATGATGAGGAAGTGTGTAATATCCTTATTTTCCAAACCTGCCTAGTCTCCGTTATGGATACTTTTCAGATCTACAGCATGGCATATAGATACCGGATGCATAAGCTGCCCGCGTGCTTGAGATGATGAGCGGATCAGCCAGGAGAGTCAAGGTTTGCACTGTGAGAATATCAATCCTCAGAAGCCAGCCACTCATGATAAATGCTGGCCTATACTATACTGCGCAATACTATACCAGAAGTGTTGATGCTTTGCACAACATCACATTATACGCATAACCGCGCTGGGACTGGCATCGGTATAGCAATTGAAGAAGAATGGCTGCTCTACTCTGCTCATACTTGTGGCTGGCTCCTGCTTCGGATGTCAGTTTGGCCGCAGGTGTATTCAATATGGCGACACGGAGGCACGAGAGAAGTGGAGTAGGAATTGGAGGCTTTATGTCATGGCTCGCCTGACAAGCAGCGTTCCCTGCCCACCGTCTACAAAGCTCTCTAGTCGAGAAGTTGTGTGCCGAACTGCCGCTCTGTTGAAACGGTGCTTCCTAGCAACATGTCATTTTTTCTCGGAATGTTGATGTTGTTCCACTTGCAGGCTTCTAGTCGGGGTAGTCGTGAGACATGAGCCTTGATAGCAGGCTTCCTGCAGCAAGTGAGCTCAATCGGTTGAGGTTGTAGGCCGTACGTCTGCAGGCCTTAAGCCTAAAGGCTACACCCTTTAAGGTTCCTGTTTCGCGCATAAAGCCCTAACCCGTGTAAGGCATGAGCGTTGCGAGCCTCCATCGAGACCCAGCAGACGCAGTAGTAGGTCGGATGCGAAAGGGCACCTATCTGAGGTCCTCACATTATCATCAAGGATCCGACAACGTAGGGTCTATGTTCGGGTCCTTCGTTTTCTGAACCCACTGGAAAGACTAAACCCCTGGCCTCACCCCCGAACCCCAAAAGCCCAATTGAAGAAACAACGAGGTCGAGCTTAGCTGTGTAGAGCAGCTCGTGGAGATCAGCCAAGCGCGGGCGTGTCTGGGCTTTCAGGCTTAACCCTGGCCTCCCAGGTACCTACTATATAGGGCCCTAGGGGCTCTAGTACCCTATATAGTAGGTACCTGGGGGGTTAGGGTAAGCCATCTTAAACGTCTGTTGTTGCATGCATCCAAAAGTCAAAAGCCGTGTTCCTGCATTCATGTGCCGGGCCACTATATGCCAGATTTGTGTTTGGGGCCAATACGGATCGGAGGTTTGGAGAAAGCTGGCCAGCTACCTCCAACTCGACAGTCATGACCTTGCATCGCCTGGAAATTTCGAGTGCTTTCGGAAACGCAAAAAGAAAACAAGACCGAGAACAACTCCAACACCTAAACTATAGGACCTAAAAGTGACCTAAACCCTCCCTGAGGGTCTAAGTACTTATATGGTAGATACTTCGGGGCCCAAAATAACTACTATATGGTTACTTAGACCCTTTGGGCCTCAAGAGTGTGCGTGCCGAAACCTCCTACACCGTAGAGCCCGCGTGATTCACCTACCGAGGATCGGTGATGCACTGCAGCTTCTCGGCGACGGCCGCCTACTTAGCATGAAGCCTTGCCTCCTCAAGGGCTTCTTCTAATTATCGTCAATGTTACAATAATAACAGCATTAATTATAATGATGATGATGATGATGGTGATGGTGATTCTTGGGTTTGCATCGGGCTGCCGGGTCCTCCCCCACAGCCCAAGGCCCTAGCTAGGCCCTATCTCTACGGTCTAGGTCTTAGGATTCTCGGGTTATGGGCGCCGGCGCACCGCGTTTTTTTTCTGCAGACTTGGGAACTCGAGGCTTCCGGGCATAGATTCTTCTATTACCGAAACCCTAAACCCTAAACCCTACTTTCTGTATTGTTGCGCTAGAGTCTTGTCACTCGTGACATGACGGAAGACCTGCCATGTAGCACCTTCCGGAGCCGCCATGCGGCAGAAAAAAACCAACATTATACAGTAAAAGTCACATGGTTCATATGTTATTAGGGTTTAGGGAGTTTAGGGTTTAGGGGTTTTGGGTTTGGGGTTGGATATATCAATATGATATATCGCACAGACCATGCATCCCCAAGTCCACAGGAGCACAAAGCTCTCTATGCGAGACTTGATTTGCTGTGCCCGCCATGTCCATGGACTCGAAACCACTGCAGCATACTACAGCCCCAGCTCCACAGCCCATCACCGTCACGATACTTCTAAACCTAAAGTTACTACAGCATAGTTGGTTCCTTTTCTCGACGTATGCTTACACCCTTTGCCATTGACATTCGGAGGAAGACGTTTGCATTGCCACTTAGACATGCAAAACGCTTGGGAGGACCAGGCCATGGACAACAGAGACACATGGGAAGCTCGCAAATCCTTCTGAATCCTACTGCAACCAATAAACCCCAAAACCGAACAAATCCAAAACTCTCTCTTTTCTGATGATCACTTACTTTACCTGGAGAAACATTAGAACCTAACCCCATATAGCCTTAACTCCCCAGGTCACCTCGTGAAGGGGGGACGGCCGCTCACGAGCGCGCCTCCGGCAGCAAGGGTTAATGTAGGGGCCTAAATAAGTACCTCTACTATTTTGGAGGTTCCTTTATAGGGTTCCTTAAAGGGTTCTATAAGGGATACTATAAAGGCTTAGGGTGTAGGGGCCTAAATAGTTACCAATACTATTGTTTTTTGGGGGGGGCGTTCCTTATTTATAATAATAGTAATGGGCCCCAAAAACTATTCTAATTATTAAGGCTCCTACAGTCTCTCAGAAGGGGTTGTTTTGGGTGTTTCCCAGGGTTAAGGGTTCAGGGTGTTCTGGGGTTTCGGGCTTATAGAGATGTTAGGTTTGAAAAAGCCTCGGATGTTGTTGTTTTTGGAGTTGTCGGATTATGTGCTACCCCTTAGGTTCAGGGTGCAGGGTCCGGGTTGAGTTTACAGAACCCGGATGATTCCAACCGCCAAAGTCCACACCCTAATAACCCTGAGCTCTGAACCCCAAACGGAAACCTATTCTGAGCACATGGATTCAGGGCAGGTCGCGGGTGCTCTTCGCCGAACTGGTGTCCCAGTGGGGTTTCTTAGCTTTAGGGTTTGTTAGTTGCTACTCGGAAAGAAGCCCAAAGCATATAGGGAGGTTTCTGACTCCGGTGAATTTCTCAGGTCATGAGCGACCTCGAACAGCAAATCCATGCAGAAGGAAAGCCTGTCGGAGAACAAGGCAGGCTTGTGCTTCAGATTTCGATTTCAGGGTTCAGGGGGTTTCAGCTGAAGAGTTCTTTCTGGTGTCTTTAAGATGATTGGCCCTTAGGTTCTATCGGCCAAATGTCTTCCACTTGCAGGATTCAATCGAAGTCCTCATGAGAGTGCACATCAGACCCGGATTCATCAACTAGGCATACCTGAGCCATCTGCGGCCAAGGTTCGATCTGCAACCAAAGCTGTAGGGGGTTAGGGGCGCTCACGACGCCTGAGGCTGTGTAGTACAGTGCAGTGTCAGAAGTTCGGAATTGTACTTAGAACTAAAGTTAGTAGCAGTTGGTCGCACTCAGATGCAGCTAGTAGGAGGTGGCAGTAGTAGGGAGTAGTGAGGAGTGGTAGGTAGCAGTAAGTCGTGGTAGGTGGTATGATGTGGTAGTTGGCGCACTGCGCGGTCGTATGTGGTAGTAGGTGGTGGTGGTGGTGGCGTCAGCAGGTAGTCGGTAGTTGGCAAGGCGAAGTATTGGAAGTAGGTAGCGAGGAGTTCATACTAGGTACGGTAGCAGGTGTGGGCCGCAGGCGGTAGGTAGTCGGTCCTATGTACTATGACCAGGTAGCTACTGAGCAGTGTGTGCGGGATCAGGCACTGAAATTTCAAACCCTGTGAGCTCATGAAGCCCAACAGCCTGACCTGCTGAGAATATGGAATCCTGCGAAATTACCAATAATATTCGTTAGGGTTCTCATCATAAACAAGTTTGGGTATAATATGGTCCAACCTTTGCTTTTTATCCTTGAGGGCCCTTCTACCAACCCCCCCCCCCCAGCTCGGACCTCCTTTGCCATGCCTGCCTTGCGCGAGTGTGAGAGTGTCGAAACCCCTCATAATAGCTTTTGTAGAATCCTTGTAGTGACCCTTTAAATGAGCCCGCCTAAAACCTTTAAACCCTCACGTCACATGTCCCTGTAAGAAGCTAGTAGAGAAGCCCTGTCGCCTGAATCCGTGCCGGCTTGTCCGAGTGTGCGTGTCGAAACGCGTGGCGTGAGCCTGCCTTGTGCGAGTGTGAGAGTCGAAACCCTGTTTGAATTATTACGGCCTACACCCTTAAACCTGTGGGACTTGCGATGCAAGGGCCAGAAAGCCATTACCCAAACCCTGTAAACCCTTGAGCCGCCCTCAACCCTATGCTACGCCATTGATTAAGCAAATTCAAAATGGTTACCACAAAACCCCAAAGTTAGCAGAAACCCTCATCTGTTCCCTATAAACCCTAAACCCTAAACTTCTA